GCCAATTTGTAAAAAAAAAATGGTTTAGAATTCGACATTTTGTTATTAAATTATCAATTTTATTTTCATGAAAATAATAAAAAATTCACTATTATAAAAATACACAAAGAAAAATATTAGGTGAGCTTAAAAGATAAATGATTGAATGTTATAATTGAATAAAAACGCACTGTCAAAACGCTAAAATTTAGGTCAACTTGTATTAGATTATGATTTTAAATATCTCTTAAAGAAAAAAGAAATAAAAACAAAAAGTAAAAATCATAAAAAATTTGAAATAAATGCGATTTTGTTCAATAATAATATTTTTTTTTCATTTCAATAACATTCAAGTTATAATAATAATAAAATATAAATTAAAATAAAAACTAATGGTAATAATAAGTAATAAAATAAATAAATAAACAAAAAAGTTATTGACCCACAAGGTTATTACAGAATTATTGTCCATTGTCTTCTTGAGTAAAAATAAACAAATCATGAGTGGTTCTTATCTCTATTTGACATTATTATGTATTGATGGTGTTTGCTTTTTTAAAATATTTATTATTTTCAATCCACATAACAAAATAAAATTGAAAAAAGTCAATGTTTTAAAATAGATTGATGTAACATGTAGAAGACTATGAAAATAGAACTACACCTACTAAACATGACGAACAATAAGATTAAGATATAAGAAAAATTTTTAAGGCTGCCTGATATATAAACAACTAAAATAAAAAAAATATTTCGGGTCCTATTCGTGCAATGAAATCTTTAAAAAAATCAAAATCAAATTGGGGAATCAAAAAAAATGAGTTAGACGAACTCCGAAAGCTAACTGATAGAAAATGAGGAACTTCTATAGAACAGCAACATTGCCTTAATAATTTTGCTTACCAAAAAAAGCAACTTATGAAATTCCAATCTTGATCCTTGCAGGTTGTAGATTGTAGTTTGTTGAAGGCAAGAGAACACTTACAACCATGACTTATTGACCATTTGCACTATCCCGATACTAAGTAAATAGTCTGACTCCTAACAGTCAGATGAGGGTGTATACAGACATATGGTCGTCCGCTCATCGTTCCGGCAGAAACTACACAAATAGGTGTCTGGTTTGTCCAGTTGACGTATAAATAATATTCTACTAATTTTAATACTTATTTGATTTTGTAAGCCGAAAATTTCAAAAAGATTAAAAAAATAACGCAACTCAAAATTTTGTCTTTGCAGTTTATTTTTTCTCTGAAAATACTAAAAGCAAAGTTTCTTGTTCTGCCGTGTATTAAGTACTATATCCCATAGTGTGAATTTTCGAGGACAAAATTTTAACTAGCCCTTGAACTTTATAAAAACATATTACATGTTTTAAGTAACATTTTTGCAAGTCCAGTAACTTTATTAATTTAGGAAGAATTTCATTACAAAATTTTATTCCATAAGTAACAAAACGAAGTTGTTTACGAAATAAAAATATTATGCTGAACATAAGTCTGATGATTGCTTTTTTTTCTGAAGACTTACATGTAGGTACGCAAAAAACTTTTTTATCAATTTTTTATTGTCATGTCATTAAAACATTTTTATTTGCACATATATGAAAAAAAAACTCATTAATCACTTTAATCATTTTTTTTGCCTTTATTACTATTGAGATATTTAGTATATATTCGTACATAAATGTATGTGTTCACCGCGCGTTTATTAAAATTGACAATAAATCCTAAAAGTTGAATAAAAACGAGTACAAAAAATTAAATTTTTGCTCAAAGAAATTCTTTTTACATTTAGTCATTTTTTAAATTTTAATATTAACCTTAACTTTCGATTAGAAAGTAAGTGTTTTGTATTGAAAGTAATTAACATTTTTGGAATTTGTAAGAAATTGTAATTTTTTTACAATTTTATTTGCTACCCTAAAATATTTAATAATTTTATAATTGAAATGGAATTTTTATCAAATAAATAATTGAATTTTTCTGTCTGTCTTCCTGTAGACGCACATAAAAAATTTATAATTCACGAGAACTATCGAAGAAGTAAAAAATTTACAATGTTAAGATTTTGCGTAGGCTTCCACTGCGTGCAAGGACTAAATTTTAATTGACGTAATATTTATTATGAACAATTTAATAAAGCCTTGAGAACATTTTCCGACTATTATAAAATATTTTTTCTTTTTGCGTACTTTGCTTGTTTTTTCGTACTCTCAATGAGAAAGTGTTTTTTTTGCTAGTTTTACTGGCTAGAATGAAGTTTTTCGATTGTGATAAATTGAAAAAGAAATTTTGTTTTGCTTTTTTTTCTACCCACATCCGCCTATAATAGAATGACAATGATGACAAAATATTCTTATGTACAATTTTATTTTTCTAGTATTTTAAACAATAAGAGTAAAATTTATTTAATTCATTTATTTGCAAATTTATTTTAATTATTCTTATTTGTTTTCATATAAATTTTTTTATAATTTGTTTACATGTGCAAGGTATTGTTATCCAATAATGTACTTTAATTTAAACAAAAAAACAATAAAAAAAATTTAAATGCTTTAATTTTAGTACAATTGCTTTTAATTTTTTCTGATATTGTTTGCGAATAAAATTTCCATGAAATTTTACCATATTTTGTAACATTACCAATGTAATAAATTATAAATTTTTGTTGGTCGTTATTGGAATCCACGATATTTTGAAAAACAATATTTGACGAAAGTTGCATGTTACACACAAAGGTACTCTCCCAGAATATCATAAAGCGGACGCTCATGTCAATCACGTCAATAACTTTCACTTGCAAATGACAGTCGTATAAACTCTTAATTTATTATTTATAAACAAAAATTTCTTTTTTTTCTTTCCTTCTTTCCTTTCCTACATCAAAGTGATTCATTTTAAACAATTAGTTTTTGAAAATGCAGTAAAACATGAATAAATGCAAAAAATATCAAAAAATGTCACTCAGTTATGTTAGCAAAAAGCTAAAAATGATGTTCTAGGGAAGTACCAAATTTCTAATAACTTTTAATCCTGCACACTTACATACGTTAATAACGTTGTAGTGATGTGATTTCTTGTACTCTTTGATTTTTTTCCTGCCTTCTTTTCTCTCGTGTTTAAAATACTGAACGTACATATAAAAATTAAAACATATGGTCACTAAGTTTGTTTTTTACTCTTAAACTTCAATTTAATTACCATTATCCGCTTTGGGCATTTATTGCACTTTTATATAGTTATACTTCTTAATACAACAAAAATCACCTAAGGGAACATTAAATTTCGTTTTTCTATTATGACAATAAAAAAAATTTTGATAATCATCTTCTTAAATACCTATGTTAGTCTCATTTTCCAAAGAAACAAAAAACAAAATTTAAACTCCGATTTTGTAACTCTTTTATATTCTCTAAAGAAACTTATATATTGAATTACAAGAACGTAAACTATAAAAACTAAAATTAGGTTCAGATTTCCTCATTGTTATTATGACGATTTTTTAATGCAATCTAAAGTTGGAAAACAGAACTGAGTAAATAAAAAATAAATCATGACTCACGATTCACGATGAATTTAGTAAGCTAGTTGATGACATTAATATCACATATTTGTAACATGCTGCACTTTAAAAACGCAAACATTAAATCAAAGTTCATGTTTAAAAAGGTATAGAGTAACAGTAAGCAATGCTATTTTTGTTTGTTTTTGATTGCAGTCTGTTGCATTTTTAGCATGTTCTAAATTTGAGAAGAAGACAAATGCCTTATCCGTTTCATTTTTTCAGATTTCATTAAGATAAAAAGTTTTATATTTCTAAAATTATAAAGAATTTTAATTTTCCCTCTAGAGATAAATGAAACATATTTGGTGTCATTTCATTATTACTTTAGTACTTAACACCTTTTGAATTAAATTTATAGTAATGATAGAATTTTATTGCTTGAGCATCATTAGAGTTGTTATCCGTCCCAAAATTCAATTTGATTTTGAAAAAGGAATAACCTCCGAACATTTTATATTATGTTTCACTAAAATCAATTTGTAGTCTGATGAATGAGTTTTTATGATTGTACGAAAAATTTAGGGACATACTCGTAAAATGATTTCAAATGAAATTTAAATTTCTACATGAAAATAAGAAAGAATTTCAATATGAATGAACTCTCATTGTCAATATTTTACCACTTGATATTATGTCAGATTATGAAAACACAGTTTTGTAAGTAATTGGACACATATATATATATATATATATGTATATATATAAAAACACACTTATTTTTGTTAGTTCTTTCTTAATTCCATTACAAAATTCTTGTGGAATAATAAACTGTACAAGACTGATAATCGCAACTGTAGAGCTTCAAATCAATGCAAATTACTCACAGAATGATGGATACGAGCTCTTACTCAAATACATTGATAAGATATGCAATGTTTCTTGCCATTGAAAACATAAAATTTTTTATACAATTTTAATTGGAAAAAGAAAATAATATCTGGAAAAAGAAAATTATTCCTTTAAGTAGTTGAAAATTTCTTAAAAAAGGTTACTACAGCAATTCTAAATATAATTAATTTTCAATACATTGAGTTTGGTCTATTACTTACTTATAAATTTATTCAAAAATAAAAAACAAAGTAGATTTTTTGTCGAACTAAATGGATCTGGAGCTCGTAACACATTACATGTTTTTAATTTATGAATATTAAATTTCATTCAAAAACTATAATTGGATTTCCTAAGACTTCTTCAAAGTATATGGCAATGCCCGTCTTGAAAATACGGCAATAACCATTTAATTTTCAAAAATTGTTTTAGAATTATAATAACTATAGCTGGTGTGTTATTAGAAATAATATTTTAAAGTATTAAGTATGACATCGAAATTTCGATCAAAAAAATTTATTGTAAATATGTATTCACAAATAAAAAATTATATTTAATATACATTCAAATATATGTGTTTTTCAAAATTAAAATTCATTTAAAATTATTTACTTTTTTACTTACAGACTACGTCTACAACGAAAACAACACCACTTTCAAATGCCCCAATTGGAATTGAAAAATTATACGGTAAAGATTTAAGTGAGTACGATGAAATCGACGTTGATACGTTGTTATCTCAATTATCGCCAGAAGAAATAAATTTATTGGCAAAAGAAGTTGATCCAGATGTAAGTACTAAAGTATAAAATTACCAAATAATACAAAAATCAAGTACAAAACTTGAATTAATACAAATCAGTGGTCCAGTTGAATTTGAATTTTTAAGAAAATTCAATTTAAACTGATTAAAACGAAGAAAAGCAAAATTTATAACCAAGCGAGTGCAAAAAAAAATTTATAAAAAAATTTATTGGATTTAATTAGAATAATATATAAATCAAGTAACTAAAATTAATTATATATTTAAAGGATTCTTTCCTTCCACCAAGTCAAAGATGCAGCTATGAATGTGAAAAATCATCTACAGGTCCATTAAATCGTAAAAAACTAATAGAGCATATTAACAAACAGGCTATTGAAGCACCAGATTTACCAGAATTTGAACCATATGTTAAAGGTACAGTACGTGGTAAGAAATGGATACCACCACCACAATCACAAAGGGAAGCCGAAGCTGATGAGCAAATTGCTATTGACATGGGTGAAGAATATGAACATGCATTATCAAGCGCATCACAAGAAGAAATTATTGACTTAGCAGGTGAGACCAAAAACAAAACAAACCGCAAGATAACGAAAATAAATTGTAAACTATATAAATTCTCTATCTGTATCTATGTCAAATATTTTTAGCTATTCTTGGTTTCCATTCAATGATGAATCAAGACCAATATCACGCATCGTTGCTTAATAAAGGACAACCAGTTGGTCTAGGTTGGGACGGTATTACAAAATCATCAACTCAAAAAGTGTATCCGATGGAACCACCTAATCAAACAGATGTTGAAGATTCAATTAAAAAAGTCAAAGATGATGACTCAAAATTAATTGAACTTAATTTAAATAATATTAAAGTAATTTTCATTTTAAAGAATTTGGGTGGATTGCATATTTTAATAGTACATTTTATTTTGCTTAGAGCATTGCAGACGAGAAATTCGAACAGTTATTTAAAGCACTGCCCGAAAATGAGCATTTGGAAGTTTTATCATTAACAAATGTTGGTTTAACTGATAGACATGCTCTTTTATTGGCCGAAGCTATCGAAAAAAGTAAAACATTGAGAGTATTAAATGTTGAAACAAATTTCATTAGTCCACCAATGATTGTTGCATTGGTCAAAGCATTATTGAAGTGCAGAACAGTTGAAGAATTTAGAGCTACAAATCAGGTAATATAAATTAATAATATAAAATTTATAATGAAACATAAAAATAGAATGTGAAAGTAACATTAAAACGTTTTTAGCGATCGTCAGTACTTGGCAATAAAATTGAAATGGAAATAACAGAATTAGTAGAAAAAAATAACTCCCTGCTGCGATTAGGTCTTCATTTGGAATATAACGATGCCCGTCATAGAGTTGCTGCCCATTTACAACGCAATATCGACAGGAGTAAGTTTTTATTAATTTGTAATAAGATTCCAGGAAATAATACAAAAAGTTGGAGAAAAGAAAGATTATTTAAAGAGAAAGTAATCGTTTTTATAATATTAGGATGTTTAAGAATTGTAGTATAGTAAGTTATTTTAGTTAGGTATTGCAAAAGCAAATTTTTGATGTTAATATTTTATCTCCTATTAAATTTTAATTTTAAATTTTAAGATAGCGACCGATAGTTCATTACACTGAAAATCTAAATATGTTAGGTTCTAATTTTAATTCTCGATTTATAAAAATTTACGATTTTCAGTAGTACTCGTATTAAGTTAAAAGTGTGTTTTTTTAAAAACATTAATAGCATTTAAGAAAAAAAAACAATACAATTCAATCAATTTAGGTGAATCATCAAATAATCATGATGCTAAAGTTATGGATAGAAAACCATCTGCGTCTATTTTGGCATTATTAACGCCTAATATGGCTTCATCATCGTTTGATAAATCACAAACAGTTGATCCATCTTTATTCGAGTCGCAGCATCAATCGCAATCATTCATGAATAACAATAACATAAAAAATGATATTAACTCATCAGAAAACATTGTTGAAGTTACGACTATGGGTGAAAATAATAACAGTAACATTGTGTATGAAACTTCAGCTACTCTACATTTATCAGATAAATCACATTTAACTCAAAATACCGACATTTCTGATAATGAAATTAGCTCTACCAGAGTTAATTCTGCCATTTCTTCTATTTCTACTTCTGGCACTGTCGTAAATGCATCTTCTAATACCATTGGTACTTGTAATACTCTCGTTACATCAAGTGCTGAAATTCAAGATGAAACATCACCTACATCATCAATCAATACTGAAAATGCTGCTAATGCTTCTGCAAATGAACTCATTGAACAACCTTCACAAGTCAAAGTAAATGACTTGAGTTTAATAATAGTTGAAAATGAAAAAACTGAATCTAAAAATAAAATAAAAGATGATGATATTATTTTTGGCCATATAACGCCAAATTCTACAAACATAAATCTTGACAGCGAATGTTGTCCTTTAACAGAATCCACTACTGTGCAAAGCCAAATTAATATAAGTGGCGAAAATCAAATGAATGAAAAAGAAATTTAATTTTAATAACTTTTTTTTCCGATTTTTCAAAAATAATTTCTTAAACAATTTTACTGTTTGTTTATAGTTTTCAAGTTTTTCCTAAAATAGTTTAAGCGTGTTCTTTTTAGATAAATTGTTTTATATGAACTTAAACGTGATATATGATATCAAAGCAAAAAGTTAAGTTTCTTTTTCTGTGAACTTGAAAGGCCCACTTTATCTGAAAAGGTAATTTATTACCCTTGATTGTCCCCAGTCTATGTACCTCATTTATTTTCTGTGGCTTTTCCTAATACTGTAATATACATACATACATATATGTTGAAAATGAGAGTTATGAAATTGAAATTTAAAATTTTTTGTATTTAACTTATCTTAAGAAAATTTGCATAATTTTAATTCACATTTTAAGATATTCTGTGATAATTATCAAATATGAATTATTTGTATTATTATGGGGAACCAATTCCAAAATATTTAATTTCCAAAAAAAATATCAAAATACACAAGCCTTTTTGTCAATCACATTTTTAAAAAAAATATCCTTGTGAAAAAAGGTTTATTCAATAAATTTTCAAAATTTGAATGAATTTAAAAGAAAAACTAGAGAATTAGTTTCTTGCTTAAAATTTTATTTCTCGAATTTTGTTAACATAAATATGCCCATGTTAAATTATTTTCCACTTTGTACTTGATTTCCAAAAATCTAATTGGTTCAAAAATCGTTTGTTCTGATCCTGTACTATCATGCTTAATGTCATTTGCTTATACATATGTTCTATATATACATTTAAAATATATAAGTTTTGTACCCTCTCTTGTAAATATTTCATAAAACGAAGTATCAACTAACTATTACCATTATCAGTAATAAGCAACGCTTTTTTCATCCTACTAATATAGATTAAGATCAATTCAAATTATTCAAATATTTTTACATCACTTATTTTTAAGACGATCCCTATAATAAGTGAAAAGTTGTGGTCATAGTAATAAATTTGGACAAATAGACAAGTGATTGTACTTGATTAAAAACATGATTTTGTTTAAAGTTAACTTACTTTTAAATAATTATGCAATATTTACAGGAAATTAAGAAGTTAACTTTGTCAACTTGGCAAAAATTTAAATAATGTTTTATTTACAAAACTAATTTAAAAACCCCAAACTAGCAGTTCTTGTTACTTTGTGGCTTTCAATAATCATCTAATTCACCCTTTGTAAAACATGTAATTTTTATGTCCAAATCAGGAAAAATAGTTTGAATCATTTGTTCAATCGTAAATTAATCAAAAAAGTGTCGTCGATTGTATAACTTTTTTTTTCATCCTTAAAAAGCCTTTGTAGAATATAATTTCTTTTTTAAGTAGCAAATACATACATTTTAATCTTGTATAAATTTCATATGTGTATTTTTTTTTATTTTATAAAATTATTTCTTTGTTTGCAATTTGTAAATATTTAAACAATTGAAAAATTGACTAAAACGATAGTCGTACGAGTTGAGAAATTAAAACCAAATTTGCCAAAATTAATACTACCAGCAAATATTGGTGTTGAACCCGAACCATATATGAATCAAATAAAAAATATTAAACGAATCACACCATCACCAACTCCATCACCAATACCTCCAGAAGACTATGATGTTGAATTTGATCCAGACAACGTTGTTGTACGCGGCTCTGGTGGAGATTATTGTGATGATGATGATGATCCACGTTCAAATACAAGTCGTTCAGTGACACCATATTCAAATCAACGTGATGGCAATGATATAATTATTGGTGACCCCGTTGGTGATTTTAGCTTCAATCCACATACGTGAGTCCTAATAAAACAAAAAAAAAATCAAAAATGCAATCCTCTTCTTCTGTTGTCATCAAATACAATGAAAAGTTTCCCTCTCTTTAAGGAAAATACACATAGAACTGTATTAACACACCATCACAAATATATCCGTTGAACCTACGGAAAATATCAAAAATTTCCTTTATGTACAAAAAAAACTTCTTAGAATCAGAAAAATACATTCCACATGAGTACACGTAAATCATTAAACATAAGTAAAGAAAGAAAACTTGTTGATTGGCTGTTTTTTTTAAGTAACACACAAATAATATAAGACATAAATTAAAATTTATTTACATACATCAATATATAAGTAGCCTTTAATGAATACCATCCTGAAACCAAATTGCAAATAAATTTCAAATGAATTAATTGTTGTATGATATTTTTCTCTGTGTATATTAACAAATATTTTTAACTTGAGATGAATTTCACGGAAAAAAAACCTTCATGTATTCTTTTTAAATATTAAGCACATTTTAATTTAGTTTGCCTAATTTCCTATTTTATTAATTTTTTTGATTAATATTATTAAAGGATGATATATTTAAAAAACTTGAGTCACGAGTTTATTTTTAACTCGACTAAAATTTGAATAGTACAAAAAAATATTCCAGTCTTAAAAAAACTATCTCAGGAAAAGATTAAGTAGTATTGAATTATTATATGCATAATATGTTATTTTTGTTAATTAAATTTATAATGAATTCAAAGGAAGAATGAGTTTATAATACAATGAATTCAAAGAAAAGAGGTTTATAATTAACTCTTATACAAATATTATTATGTTACATAAAATACGATATTTGTTGAATAGCATGTTATCTTCCAAAAAACAGGATTATTCGAATAAATATTTTATAAATGACAAATGTATTATTATTTTATTACAATAGATTTCAGGGACGTTTTAGCTTAGAATTTAATTAATACGCATATTGATTTCAATTTATTAGTATTCTATAATTTATTTTTGTTAAATAATTTAAATTAATTAACAATATTTTGAATTAATTTGTCACTTATAAAGTATTTATATATGACATTTTTTTGTTAGTGGAATCATTTAAAACTGATTCAAAAGAATCATATTTGCTGTGAGTAATTAATAATTATGTACTTTGTTAATATAAGTTTGAGGTAATATTTGTATTGTTAGTTAGTTAACTCATTATTATGTAATGTAAGTTAATTTCATTATGTTTAATTTTTTTTTACTGTTTACATATCAATATTTTTTGTTTTCCTTTTTATTTTTACATTCAGTGAAAACTTTTATACTATCAAAACAATATTCTGTTTTTCTCTCTTTGTATTACAGTAAGAAAAGATCTTGATTTACGTCTTCAGTTCAGATTTTTCAGTAACATGCATAGAAAGGAAACAACTTTAATTCAATAAAATTAAATAATCAATCAAATTAATATTATTGAATACTCAATTAATTGAAATTAAATTTAAAACAAATTGACAAAAAAAAATGAACATATATATATTTATATACACATACATAAAAATATAACCATCTATAAAAAATATAAATAAAATTAAATTTTAATAAAAAAATTGATAAATTATAATAAATAATTTTAATTTAATAATATATTAAATTAGAATTCCTTAAATTGAATGATATAAAAAACAAAACTATTATAATTATAAATTAAATTAAAATGAAAAAAATAAATAAGAAAAATAATAATTAAAAAAGTGTAAATTTAATTCATAAAAATTTTAAATTTTTTTATTTTAAATTGAAATTTTTAATTTTCTATTATTTATTCTAAACAAAAAAAATATCGAAACAAAAGTGTGTTTAAAAATTTGCCCTCAAATAAACAAAACAGGTATTTAAAATTGAACAAAAAAAAAGAAAGAAAAACAATTTTAATAAATTAAAATAAATCTTTAAGTATAATATTTTTAATAAATTTTAAGACATTTTTATTATTCTATAAAAATAGCAATAATATTCAAAATTGTAATGCAATTTTGTAAGTGATCCTCCGTTTCGGATTATTTTAGTAAATAAATAAAACCGGAATTTGTTAGAAATTTTAAAAATTTATCTGTAAGAATAAATAACTAGTACTACTATCATGTAGTCCTGTACTATTATAAAATGTTTTTTATTAAAACAAATATTATACTTAATGATTAATATGTAAAATATTATGATCGTTGGTAAAAATGAAAAATTTAAATTAAATTAATAATTAATGAACAAAAATACAATCTTTTGTAGATATCAATTTTGATAACGTGTAAAGCGTGACGTTTTTATTTTCGCTTTTAATTTGTTCGGCTAACTTTGATAATACTCGCAGCTCTTAATTTGTAAAATTAAAAAAATAAAAAATAAAAATGGATTTTATGATCCAAATGCTGTAAAATATATAATTCCAATAATATTAGTTTTTTTGGTTTTTAATATAAAAATGTTAATAAAATTGTAATATATCACTGAAAACAAAATACAAAATAACTCAAGAAAAAGCCTTTGTAAACGAAACAGTATAAAATTATATACACAGTTTAATTTCAATAGTTGTTAAACAAAATCGTTTTTTTTTTCAGTTTGTTCTTTGTATCTTCAATTAAAGTCTTTTCTATCGCTTATCAATCATACAATAATATATATAGTAAATATGCATGAACAATGTTCTGATTTTATAAGTTATTCAATAAATACATAAAAGATTTAAGTATATAAAATACAAGCAACCAAATCAACAAAGTTATACACTGAAGTAGTTCTACATATCACATTGGTCTACATAATTATATTTAACATACTTACATTTTACATTGTAATGATTTCATGAATTTATAAATTCAAATTTTATAGTATGACACATACATTAAAACACAATTCTCAAGAATTTTTAATTTTTAAAATACATATATACGTACATACTACATATACGTATTTAAATTTGAAAATACATTGCTTTAAACTCTAACCGAACCCAATCATATTTTAGAAGGGATTCTTTAGGTTTAAGTATTTGTATGTACTATATTTTCAGAATATCATCAATACACATTAAAAAAAAAATGACAAATTATAATGTTCAATCACTGTAAGATTATTTTCGAATCTTTTAATTATATTTACTAAATATATTCATTAATTACAAAATTATGTACAAATTTTAAATATTAGAAATAATAAGAACCAAAGAACTGGTTAAATAAAAATGTAATTCAATTAAATGTAAACTTTTATAGAAATTTATTTTCTAATTTTTTACTACAGCATTCAAATTAACTGAATTAAGAAAACAATCTGATGTAATTTTACTTGCTTCAAGTGAAATTTTTTTAGTAAAATATTTAATTGAGACTTAACGTAGTTCTTTAAAAAATTTCTTTAAGTGAAGTTTTCTTAGAAAATATTTATTTATATAACATTATAATTTGACATTCTTATAATACTTACTACATTTTCTTCACCTTCCCTTAAAAATTAATGTTTTAATTAAATTTTCCCATTAAATATTTTCCTTTGCTTAATTTAAAAAAAAAAAAAAACATATTTTTTTTTTATAATTTTGTTAATAATTCCATTTTTCTTTTCTCCTTCTTCATTTTTATGTATTTTTTTCTTTTAGGATGTAAAGATAAACTTCGCTGTAAATTACAACCCAATAAATCAAATTCGAATTACACGAAACTTCATCTCTTAATAAGTGTATAGTCTAGTCATTTATGCAAAATCTTAAATGTATCTTATTTTCACATTATATAAATTATTAAACAAATTGCACTACATTATCGAAAATTTTATAAAATTAATGTACAATTCAAGAGAAATTTACAAGTAAATCTTTAATTTTTTTTGTGATTCTTTTTTTTTGTGATTAATTTTTAATCCCTTATCCAAATTACACAAGAGATTTAAATTTTAGAATTTCATTATTATTTTCATAATACATATGTACATACATACTTGAACTCTAAAATAATAAGAATTTGAAAATAAAATTTAATAAAATTTCTAGATTTCAAATAAAATTATTAAATTAATCAATTGAAAAACAACAATTAAAAATTATAAAGAGTTCATTTATTTTAAAAATTTACTATCTTCTTAATATATTAATCAGGAACGTCTATGAAAATGCAGACCTAACATCAAATTGACTTATTCAGTAATTAAAACAGTATTACTGAATAAAAAATAAAAAAACATAAATTTTGAATTCAGACACTTGGTTATTTTTGGCTAGTTAGAAGAAGAATATTTTATTTTATGAAATAATTTTGAAATTCTAAATATTAAATCTTCTGTGCTTTGTAATTTATATTGTAAATAGAAGACCCATATTTTTATGCAATTTATGTTGATAATTTCAGAAATATTTTTGAAATTTCAGAACAACCTATAAAATTTGATACATATATCAAAATGGGTTGCTTTTAAAATGTGTATAATATTTCTTTTTGTACCGTCTGATGTCAATATTAAATGGATTAAAACTTTGTGACATTGTTCGAATTGTTGTATTTAATTGAATGGAAAAGATTAAAAATGATAATGAATTAAAATGTACTTGCTTTTTTCTCCTGTGTATATAATTTTTTTATCCCTAAAGATGCTGTTTTAATTTTTTGGGAATTTCAAAGTTTAATATTTTACAATTTCGTTATGATAAGTACTAAGTTTATTGAAAAAGTTAATTAAAAATTAAAGTATAACAATTATAATTTTATTTGTAAATATTTTATTAAATATTAACGAAAATGTAAAATATTTAAAATGAAATAATCGAAAAAAAAGTATGTACGTCGTCAATAACTATGAATAAATATTTTATTTTTATATAAATTTGCAATTAAAGTGCTTTATGCCTAATTAAGTGCTAAGTATGCCTAAATATGTGTGTTTTAAACCATAAAAAATTAATTCAATTGATATAAAAAAAATACTTTTAATAAATTACACTAACACTTTACATTATTTACAATTCCACCTTCATATTCTACTACATCTTTAAATTACACACTGTTATTTTAAAACCCTATATAGTTCATCTTATACAATTTTAATTTACATAAAATATTTTTTCTACTCTATTGAATTATTATTATTTCGTTATTGTGAGGTTTATTCTAATTTAATGGACTTTATAAACCTTTTGGATTTTATCAAACCCTGCCAATTATTTTGCAGAAATTAATATAATTTTACAAAATCGAGGGCATATGTTGAGAACACCCTCATAATGATATTTTATTTTCCAAAATATTGAAGATATAATTCCTACTAATATGATTTTTGTAGATGTTTTTCATTAATTGCAAATTATTTTAAAATGATTTCTTATGTAAGGTAAAGGGTCACAATCCCTTGATGAAATTGATATTTGAAACATTTTTAGTTTTCAAAGAATTTTTTAATAACAAAGTTATTTCAGCACTTAAAAACAAGTAATTTTTTAATTTATTGTGAAAGTATTTTAGGAATATGAGATAAGGTTAAAATGTAAAGTCCAAAATATACCCTTTTCCGATTTCCTTTCCAAATGTCCTCAGTTTGTTTGTATTATAGATATTATGATTTATTTCTAACGTAATATTGCATTTGAATGAAAAATAATATCTAGAGAGTAAAATACTACAATTTATAAACTAATAAAATTGTACACTAAAATCGTAATACGAGATAAATATTTTTGTTTTTTGAAAGAGGTTTAATAAACCTGAGTCTTCCGCTTATGAAAATTTTGAGTGAAAGTGCATGTATCTATAAAAACTAAGAGAAATGAGAAGTTCCTTAACAAATTAACATTACCGAAATTTACTTTGTGTCAATTTTATTTAGAAATAAAGTTAAAAATAACAAAATTTTTTTTATTTTTAAAATGTCTGAATAATGAATAAGTTTTATATTTTCTATAAGTATAAATATAAGTATATAATATGAAATATTTATCTGTATTGAAATAATGTTATATTAAAAATTACAAATAATATTTTTTAATTTCTTTTTTATTTGATGTTTTTTATTGTTATGAAACTAATATATTTTTAACACTTAAAAACATTTTTTTTTGTTAAATACAAGCATTAATTGTTCTTTTTTTTTAATAATTTTTATTTTCCAGTACGCCTTTCCCGTCTTAACCAGCGTAAATAAAAAGTGAACATCAAAATCACAAAATATAATTTTATTTAATATAATTATATTAATATTTAAAAAACAAAACAAAAATTATGTATATGCAAGAAAAAAAAAATCTCTCCAAATAAATTATATGACAATTGCTACGAATGTTTTCGATTAATCCTCTAAAACCCTGAAACAGTACGTACGTTTTCAAAATATATTTTTTAGCATTATTAAATAATAATTATTACTTATTTTAATGGGATTATGGATTTTCTTATTTTTAAGCAATTCTAGCTATCAAAGTGTTTTTCTTTTTATCCTAAAAGCTTAAATTTAAATAATGTACTTATACTTTTATTTAATTTTGTTATACTATAATTTTATCTTCAATCTTATACTCGTAAAAGCTGTAGTCGATAATGTTAAATGCGCGTTGAATTCTTTTTCATCTTAATCGATATTGCAGTTAACAAAAGCATTGCAACTTTTAATGTTGTCAACATAAATGACTGCATCTATTAATAAAACCAATTTTAATAATATCATTTTGGCATTTTTATAATAAAAAATTTCAACTACTGATAACGAATTTTCATTTTTAAACTATGTGCAGCCAAATTTAAAAAACAAAAATCTTCGAGATAGCAAATAAGTAAACGTTAAACTCAAACTATCAAAAATAATTTGTTGTTAAAGCAGCTATTAAGCGCAAAAGGTTTTGTTTATCATAAATTGCCGATTGTCGGTTGGTGACCGTCAGTGGTAATTTTTTCGACCGATATTTGATATTATCGCTTGCATCTAATTTATAAATTTAAAATATTAAAGTATGAGTACATTATGTGTAATTAATAAAGCTATGCTTAATTATTTTTAAATATTTATTTTTTATTTTGTACTGAAAAGGTTCTAGTGCACTATTAAATTCTACAAAAAAAGTGGAAATTTTATTGCAACAACAAATTGTATTAAATTTTTTATTCTTTTGGTATAATATTTTTTTTCTTTTTGGTGTTTTGTGTTTTTTTGTTCACATTATTAAAAAAATGTATTTAAATTATTTTTCATGTATTTATCGTGTAATCATTGTCTCATCTTCCATGTTTAACTTATGATAATTTTTAATTTTAGGAAATATTTTCTTTGGTGATGGATTGATTTATAATTTAGAATAATGGGCCATTTATTCATTTCAGTTTCGTTTATATTTTCATTTATTTTTTTTCGTATAATTATATTTTATTTTATTTAATATTATTATGTATTTTTGTAACACATTTTATATTTTTAATGGAATTGGTTCCTCAACGTTCTCTTTAATTTAAAATGAAATTAATTTTTAAATATTGTTTTTGTGTTAAACATCAAATATGTACATTATGTTTAAATTTTAGATATTTTGGTAATGAAGTAAAAAATTTAGATTATATTACTTTTGAAGAAGACTCAAAAATTAATTTTTGCATTGCTTAAAAAATAATATTGCTGTTTTTGATTAAGCGATTCAATTTTAATGAATTATTTACAATTTATTCTATTAAAACAAAAATATTGATTTAAATTAGGAATTTATTAATTAAATTAAATATTTGTGTCTCTTTCAAAATTGTAATTAAAAAAAAAAAACAGGAATTATAATTAAATATTTTTTGTAAAACATCAAAAATAAATGTAAAGTAAAAGTAGAAATTAGATATTCGTATTTTTCGTCTCATAATAAATTATTGTTATTTATTTAAAAAAATTATATTTAATAGTTTTATGTTTTTTCCAAAATAGTTTTGGTTTTTTTATATATAATTGTTCTCATTGTAATACATGTGTTATTGTTTCAAGAAATATCAAAAAAGTCTTATAATTGTATGCGAAATTTCGGTATTAGAAAAATATTAAAAATTATATTTATTTATAATTTCGTATTCAATACTTTACTTTAGTTCTAATTCAATTTTAATTTCAGATTAAGTTATATAATACGGATTTTCGTTAATTCAGTTCTAGAATAGTTCTAACTTGTAGCACGTTCGAAAATTACTTACTTTAGAAAAAGACGTTCGGAAATTCGTTCTGTAATAAGGATTTGTCATAGACATCTTTACCGCTCTTTGTCTAATGAGATTTTTCTTTTTAATTTCAAAATTTTAAAATTTATATCACTTATATAATTTTCCAACGACTGATTGCTTAACAGCTTCAAAATTTGCAGACTGCATAAACAGGAAAAATTTTGCTTAAAGTTTTTGCATACTGTTTATCACTTCGGTTTAGAAATTTTAATACATAAACGAAAATCCCCAACTAAACTTGCTGCAAAGGCATTGTTCTATTATTTTCATTGAAATAAAAAATGAATGTGAACGAAATATTTTATATGGCCCTTATATAATAGAACATATCATTTAAGAATCACATTCAACTACATTCTTTCTATTCATCTGAACAAAAATACCATAAAATTAAAAATGAATCACATTCTGTAAAGTATCATTTTTCAAAAGAGATAATCATGCCATTTTCGTAAAAAAAATCATTAAAAACAATTTACGAATTATTTAACAATAATATTTATAATTATTATTCCATTATTTCATTTCAGTTTTGGCTTAAATTTTTTTTATTAATTAGAATGAAAATGGTTACTCTGCTTAAGAATCTCTTTAATTAATTAACATGAATGATAATCAAATAACTTTCAATTTAGTATTTTATTTTTGAAAATTTTACAATGCTTTATTTTATAGATAATTTTTTTATTACAAAATATATTGGTTATTGCAAAAAATAAATGAGTACACATATTAAATATATTTTATAATATGTTGGCGTTAATGCTTTCTTATTTTTTTTTTATTAAAATATTATTTTTTTATTTAATATTTGTTGTAATTTTAGAGAACGGATATTTTTTTGTAAATACATACATGCATAGTTGAAAAGATGAAATTATATTTATATCACAATAACTCAAGAATTTACGGAAGCAAAACAATAATACCATGGAAAGAAGTTGTGATTTTCAATCAGGAGCTTGAGAATAAAATTCAATTTATCTCATAAATTCTAATTTTCTTAAACTTATTTTACGCAAATACACAGTGATATCAAAATATAATGAATGTTTTATAGTTCATGAGTACCATCAAAAGTATTTTTCAATAATATCCAATTGCTTCAAGTGAGGCGACTCAAAAAATATGTGCGAACATTTTAAAATATTAGATTAAAGTGGTTTAATCGAGTAATAAAATATCGTTAAAAAAAAGTTTTGCTTATAATTTTATCTATTCAACTTTGCAAAAAAATCACGTTACAAAAAATACATGTATAAAAATATAATACTAATTGATTTTTCTCTATAAAAAAATACTTGCAGATTCTCGACAAATCAGAATGGGACATTTTTCAAGAAATTATACAGCTGGATATGCTATGCCAGTATCATTTGGCAATAAACGAGCTTAGAACTGCCAAGCACATACAAATAATATTCTTTCTTTCTAATTAATTATACAAAACAAATTAAAATAGAAAATAAAAATGAATATTATAAATAAAATCACAAAGAAAAATTATTGCATTGCTCTTAAAATTTAAAATAGTAGTTAAAAACAAAATTTAAAGTAGTTAAAAACGAAATTTTTAATAATCGCTTTTGCTGTTTAACAAAATAAAAATGTTCATATTGTAGTATTATTAAACCTGAGATTTTTTGTGTTTAAATTATGAAAATAAATAAAAATTAAAATCAAAACAATAAAATTAATTATATGCCGAAATTTTGTTATTTTAAAAGATTACAAAATTGTAAATTTTTATTATATTCATATTTTTAATAAATATTATATATAGATTGTTAACATTTCTAAATTTCAAGTACATATTTGATAATGTGATTAAATTATGACTTTAATTTGAAAATTATATAATATTTAATTAAAAGCAATTAAATTAGTATTTAAATATTTGATTTAATTGTAATATGAATATAATATTAATATTTTTTGTGAATAGAATTATGGTCAATTCTATTTAAATATTTTAATGTATTCGTTTATCGTACTTTATTTGTATGAATATTTAATCGTGTATAGCAGTTTTTGTACTTGTGTTTAAAAAAACATTGTTCTTTTTTTAAAAATTGTTCAATTTCCTTAAATTTTTTTTGAGAGATTTAAAATAATTTTTCATTCTTTTTATGTAAAACAACATAGAAGTTGACAATATAATTTAATATGAATTAATATAATATACATAATTTGTACGAAATATACACCCATATTTTGTTAGTCGTATCACTTGAGCTGAATGGGATATTATTGAAAAGAATTTTGTTTTTTAGTATAGAATTTCAATTTTTAAAATTGATTTTATTCTCGAGATATTTCAAGATTTTTAATTAATAACCCATCGTGGCGATAAAGTGATACGACTAACATAAAATGGGTGAATTATGTAGTTTAAAAATTGTGAGTTTATTGTAACGCTTTGAAAATAAATAATTTTTTTTATTTATGTATTAAAATTTATCGATTAACTATTGACACTATTTTTGATTTTTTATCTTATAGTGAACATTTTACAATTTCAATGTCACTTATTTCGACGTCGATAATTTAACGTGACCACTAATTCACAATTTTAAAACTATAAAGAAAAATAATTTGTAGAAGTGTTCATTAAATTTTTAATAAAATACATAAATATATGTAAAAATATTTTAAAAAACTATACATATATATATATAATATATATATATATAAATAAAAAACAAAAAATTATAAAAAAATACAAGCTTTAATTTTAAGAATTATAAATGTATGAAATCATAAAATTATATTAAAAAAATTTTTTTGTCACACAGTTTTAGAATTTAATAAAAAAATAAAAAATCAAATCATTTTATATTTGCACTATAAATTTTACTTTTACATATTTATTTAGTAGTGAAACAAATAAAAATTAATAAATATTACAATAATTTTTCTATATCTACAATAATTTGAACTCAAATACATACAAATATATTAAGTTTTTAAATTCTTTCAATAAATACGCATAGAAATAACACTGTTTTTTTTTAAATATCACTATAACATTCATTCATAATATTATAAAATAATTCATACTCTACATGCTTTTTAATTTAACTCTAAAATAACAACAAAATATTTTAAATAAACAAATGTTAAACTGATGAAATTCACAATAATAATTTTATAATTTCCAACTGTCTTCAAAATAGTCACTAATAATATTCTGTTAGTCGCATCACTTGACGTGATGATTGGTTGTTATTCAGAAATTTTGTAATTTTCTGAGTAAAGTTAATTTTGAAATTTGAAGTTCAATAGTGAAAACCACATAATATAACATTGCCTCAAGTAATACGACTAAAAGAATATGGGTGAATAAAATTTATAGATGTAAAAGAAAATTTGTGTGTATAAATAGCAAATTTTAATTGTAGAAATTTCGGAAATTCATTTTTTCTTTTATCCATAATTGAGATGCATTTTTCACGGACAATAAATATTTACTTCACATATCCTTTTTCCTTTCAAACTAATTTCAATTTTTAAAGAAAATATTTTTAATAAATTTATAATTACAATTTTTAAATAATTGAAAGGTGTACTGTAATTTTCTCACTTCCATTTAAAAAAACAATAGTTTAATTTTCTGTAAATTGCCACTTGAAAATTTCATATTGATTAGGAAATTTATTATATTATTTATAATGGTATAAGTGCATATTTTAAAAATTCAATTAAATATGAATTAAAAAATTACTAAAAATTAAAATTAAAATTGAACACACTTTTCGTTTCTTATAAAATTTTTGTTTCGCTTTATTTCATAATTGTATCTAATACATTTTGTTCATTATTTAAAATTAATGAAAATTTTAATTTAATTTTTTTTTTTAATGTAATAAATTTAAAAAAAAAATCTTTTATGATATTGCTTTAATTTGTAAAAAAAAAAAAAGGAGAACAATTGAAAAAAGAAAAATAAAAAAAAATTTATTTTTATTTTAGTATATAAAATGGTGTTTATAAAAAAAAATTTTAAATTTGTGCAGAGCTTTGGGGACCGAAATTCGAAAGATACAAATTTCCAGATTGAGAGTCGCTGTGCTCATTCTACTGTTGTTGGCAATAATTAATTGGCGATATATTAAAAAAAATATTCCAAAAGAACAAAATTACAATAAGAAAACGCTTCTCACAGAGACGCGTGACAGGAAGTCGCCAGTATTACTAAACTACAATATTATTTATTGTTTATAATTATTGTCTATGTACATTGAGGAAGGACACTTGTCATTTGGTACCTTATCAAATTGAAATTTTATAAAAATCCAAAATTTTTAAATAATTTAATGTTTTTTTTTTATTGAACACCATTTCATTTTTGACTCATTTAATATTATATGAGTTTATATTTATAAATACATACGTATTTCATTTTTAATTTTTCTATGTTAATATTGATTCACATTTTAAATTAAAAGAATTTATATATATAAATAATAAATTTTAATTATATATTAAATAATATGTAATATTAATTTGCTATTACAATGAATGATATTATATAGAATGAAGAAAAATAAAAAAAAAATCTTAAAAAAAAAAACAAAAAAAAACAAAATAAAAATTATAAAAAGAATAAGAAGAATTTTTATCTTCGATTATTTTTAAGGTCTGGTCCTACAAATCGAAAACTTTCGCACAATCGTATTTTATTCTTTTTTTGACTACTCTTATGTAAATATTTACCAGCAGCAAAAGAACAAGGTTTCGTCAAGAGTCTCTTACATGATATGTAATTTATAAATAAATTACTATAGGGCTAGTGACTATTAAAATATACAACTATTTACAACATGAAAATTTGAAATCATTGACAAGACAGTATTTTTATTTAGTCGGAGTTCTTTCATTCTTTTGGTTTACAATACTTACTTCATAAATTTGAAAATTTGTTGATATTGTGACTCTTAAAACCATTAAAATTTTCTCGTTATGCTAAAATATTCTTAAAATTTTCGTTTTTTCAAAAACAGTTGAAATCACACTTTTAGAAAATTAGTACAGTATTCCATTTTAGTTTTAAAAGAAGTTCGGGAATTTTCGATAATTTAAACATACACTGAAAGTTCTAAATTAAATCTTAAATCTCTTTCATTAAATCTTAAATCTTCAGAAACTTGAATATATTGCAATTGTAAGTGACAAATTTTAAAAATTTAATAATATATATAAAGGTTTTTACGTTTTTTACCGAATTTATAAAGGTATTACCTAGGCAAAAATATTTTAAAACTTGCCAAATGCAGAAATAATGTTAGTAGGGTAGGTATGCTTGTAAAATTTTGAAAACACATTTGTATTGAAATTTAATCGAAAATTCGTTAACGATATTTTAATTTACCTTTACATTCTAAGAAGCTACAAAAAAAAAATTTATTTTCAAATTCTTGACCCCGACGTGATTTGAACACGCAACCTTCTGATCTGGAGTCAGACGCGCTACCGTTGCGCCACGGAGTCTTAATAATCATGGTGGAAAATTTGTATCGCAGCATGGCATGATTATATTGTTGTAAATTCTCAATTAATTTATTATCAAAATAATAAAAAATAAACTAAGATTGTTTTGTTTATCAAATAAAAAATTTTGGAAAAAATGTACAAGTGTTCTTCAGTTTATTATTAACCGATTGTGATATTTTAATAAAGACATTAATTTAAAATAAAATTTTAAAATTATTGACTCAAAAGTTAACTATTCGCACCAAATTTTCTGATTACAAAGAATACTCAAAAATTTATTAATAATTAAAATATATTTATTCATATTTTATTTTATAAATAAATTCATTGGTCTTACATACATATTTAAATTATAACAAAAGAAAAAGAAATTAATACTGTGTATATAAAACTATACATTAAATAAATTAATTAAGTAACTTAAAGGTTAGTACATGATTAGAAATTCTAATAATATGTAGTATGTGAAAACATAATCAGCTCGTACATAAAGTGCACGAACATAAATTTTAAGATTCAATAATTGATCACGGTTTCTCTAAGATATTTTTTTCTTAAGGTTATGATATAACGATTTTCTTATTTTTACATCTTATTAACTAAAAATTAATGTCTATCTAAATAATATAAAAATTACAATTATCAAACATTAATATAAAATTAGAAAATTAAAATATTTTCACTAAATTTATCTATTTTGTATCATTGTTTAAGTTTGAGCTATTTGTGGGTGCCTCTGGGTCAATCTTTTTATATAGTTCCCGTATTTTTCTATTTAATTCAGATTTTGGAGAACTAGGTTGACTATTATTTGCACTTGATGGTTGTACGTTCGAAGAAATAACTTTATCTATATTTGCAGAACGGTGAACACCTGGAGAATTTCTAGGTGAATTTTTGATTTCAGAGATTTCACCTGTGCTTGGGAATTTAGGTAAATTAAGTACTTGTTTTGGTTTATCTGATTTATTTGATTTATTATCTTCAAACTCATTTTCTTCAGAAATTCTATCTGGAATTGATACTTTCTCTAAACTATCACTATCTTCAGGCATTTCAGCTATAGCATTTTCTAATTCATCGAAATTGTAAAATATTTTCAAATCAATTTTAGCACCTTCAAATACTGATGACACATGTGGTTTTAAATTATAAAAGAAAATCTTTTGTTTTCGACTACCAAAATCATCAACAAGAGTGCTTATTACTTTAGCTGCTGTAAAATCGGCCCCATAAATATGTGAGCAATCAATGACGACAGGTAAAGTTGATTTTAAACCTTGTTTATTGATTTCATTTCTAACAAATTCAACTGAAGGAAATATAATACAACGATCTGGAGTCAAAACTAAATATTTATGCCCATTGTCGGTCTTAAAAAAAATAAAAGAAGAATTGTAAGTAAAATTTTAAAATCTTAGTTAATAATCAATTTTTGACTTACCACCATGAATTCTAATCGTAGTTTTGGTCTAGCAGCATGATAAAGAATGAATACAACGTTAATACCAATTCCAACTAAAATTCCTAGTTCAAGTGGCAAGACAAGGCATGCAATAAATGTTGAAAGTCCAGGAATTAAATCGGTTCCTATATTAAAAGACAAAAATTAATCTGTTATGAAGTAAATTGTTTCTAATGGAGGTAGTTCTATGCTTACTTTTACTTCTCCACATTGGTTTAATAACTCTGTATTCGACTGTAAAAATAACAGCGGCAATAATGATGGCGGCTAAGGTTGCTTTTGGAATATAATAGAAATATGGTGTCAAATATAGCAAGGCTAAAATAACAATGGTTCCTGTATACAGATTACCCAATTGAGTTCTAACACCACTGGCATTATTTACTGCGCCTATTAAAGTGATGAATTGTTATAAAAATATTCTGCAACTTATGTAATATATATAAAATTTACCTCGAGCTAAAGCGCCTGATCCAGGATATCCTTGGGCAAAAGAGTTCGCAATATTTGCTGTACCAATAGCAATCAATTCTTGAGTAGCGTCAACAGGTTTTCCATGTGCTATTTTTTTTTTTTTCAAAAAATAGTAAAAGTTATTTTGACTTTAAAATAAAATATTTTTGAATTAACTTACAAAAAGCTTTGCAGGTCGCAATATTTTCTAATAACGCAATCAATGGCACAACAATTAAACCTGAACCCATATTTGAAACCATTTCGGTAAATGATTCACCTTTTAATTCTGCATGTTCACCTTCGGTTTGATTTCTTGAAATTACATCTCCAGGAATAGAAAATGGTGGTAATTGAAATGTTGGTAAACCAGCTGGTACATAACCAATCATTTTCAATGATCTATCACCGATAGAATATAAATAAGCACCAATTGCACCAAATGTAATAACCAATACAGCATTCCTTGCAGTTGCCAATAACCATACAAATTTATTTAAAATTTTCACAAATAAATTTTGTTTCTTTTCATCCCCCAATTTTAAATTAACCATTTGTCTCATTAACAGTAGAATCGCAATGCATGCTAATCCTAATGCCGTATCCCATAGTCGAATATTATGTATATCTTCTATAATGGAAATCCATGCTTGAACGAATGTTGTACCTGAGGACCTAACTCCTAAAATATCTTTAACTTGTGACGTTAAAATAATTAACGAAACCGCTGAAGTAAAACCGGAGCTTACAGGTCCTGACACAAAGTCTATCAAAAATCCCAAATTAAATAATCCCATCAGTAACTCAATAATACCAGTTAAGAAGCTTAATAAAACAGCTCTTTGCCATACACCTTTTGCTGTTTGAAATGTTAATAATGAAGCGATTGCTGTTGGTCCCATTGGTACATCTTTACTAGATCCGAGAAAAATATATATGAAACAACCAAGAAATGAGCCATAAAGACCATACTGTAAAATTATTAAAAAAAAATTTTAATAAAAAAATTAAATTCCATGTTGAAAAATTTTAATATTATTTCTCTTACATTTGGAGGTAGTCCTGCAATACCACTGTAAGCTAAAGCTTGTGGTATTACTGTTAAACCTACAGTGAATCCAGCAACTAAATCACCAATAGCATCTTCTTTTGTATACTTTGGTAACCATGTTAAAATTGGTAAACGTTTATAAAGCATCTTTTTTCGAAAAATATTTTTAGCTTTATCTTCAGTAAATTTTTTGAATAACTTCAAGTGATCCAAAGCAGTCATTTTTTCGTTGTCTAAATCTTTTGTAACTGTAATTATAAAAAGAAATATAAACATTACATTTTTCGACGGTCTTCAACAAAATATAAAAAATAATTTAATTATCATAATTTATTTTTACCTTCAAAAGCATTTGATCCTTTAAATTGACACTGCGCTGGAACTTCAATTGAAATCTCAGTTCTTGAATGACGGTGATTTCTAGTATGACGCATTTTCTTTTTTTTTAATTTCCTTCTCGCTTGACTTTTAATTTGGCTTACTAAAACAATAAATTAAAAAATAATTATAAATTTTATGCTTTCAATTTGAAAAAAAAATAGTGTTAAATAAATAAATTTGAGTTAGTCATCAAATTTTTTTAAAAAAAATTAATACTCGTATTGAGTTGAAAAGGGTTACTTTAAATCTTACAAGTAATAATTCTTTATTAATAGCCTCTATTTAAACATTTGTTTTACTAAATGAGAGCAATTTCAATGTAAATTTACTGAGCTTGTAAAATTTAAATTAGTTGTGCTCAGATTTTCTAGTGAAATTATTTATAACAGTGTTAAGTAAGGCAAGTGACGTCGTCATTATTTCATTTAGTATGCTAAAGAAGTTTAAAATTTCTATGACGTACATACATTGAATATGTCTATTAAATCTTATTTTTATATGTGAGTTGCTTGAATTAAGTAATTTTCAATTAAAATTATAAAATTGAAATTATAAGTTAATTTAAATTAAGAATGAAATAAAATATGGCATTTCGTGCTCATTTTATTAAATCAGAAAAATGTTTTCAAAAGTTTATGGGCTATGGGAAAAAGCGAAACGAATTGAATAAAATTTGGAATAAAAAATTAACAAATCCAGAATAAATACATACATACACAGATATATTATTCGTGATTCGTGAAATTTAATAATTATGAATTGCACATTTATTTATTCAAATAATCTTTGTCAATTCTTAATTGCATTTTAAATTATTTTGTTTAATTCTATTAATTAGTAAATTTTATTATTCAAATTAATTTAATAACATTTTTCCAATTATAGTGGCATGATATTGAAGAAATCACAAAAAAATTTCAAGTAATCAAATTAATTGCTAATGAAAAGAACAATAAAAGTACCTAGTAAGCTTAATACACATTAACTATCTAGATCTATTAACTTAGAAAATGACAAAATATTTCTCAAAAAAAAAAATTTCAAGTTCTTAACACCTTTGACTATTCTGAAATACAATAATAAATTGAATCGCCCGAAAGTAGACAAATATTTTATTACTTATTACTTTACTCGTTAAGCAGAATGCTAAGTTCGATCAAACTTTTTTATCAAACAAATTGCTGTGCTTAATTTTAATGTATGATTAGGTAGCTGTATTGTATTATTGTTTGATGACAGTATTGTTATTATGAATGAGTGATCTTATTAATCACGATAACGGGAATTGTTTATAGAGTTTTTTAGCAATTTCTGCACATGTTGAAACTATTAAAAAATGAAATTTTAGCAAAATCTATAACTTTCGGAAATTTTCAAAAGAGGAAGTTTGTAATAAAAAATAAGGTTAGAAAGGTTTTTTTGACCTTAAATAATTAATTATATATATTAAATTAACCTATCAGAATTTCATAATTATAGTTGCAAATAATTTTATTTTTTAATTATTCTCCAAATTATTAAAATTTTCAATAACAAAAAAAAAATTAACATTTTTATAATATTTACTTCCAAAAATGTTGAACTAACCCCCTATAAGGGTTTTATCAATTAACCTCAGAAATTTATTAAGGAAAACAATTTATGATTACAAGTGATCTTAACGATTTTTTTCCAGTCTGTTGCTATACCCTTTATCAATATCTTTTTGTTTAACTATAAAGTTATTTTTGAATTATATTTTTTGCAATTATTAATTACAGATAAACAATGCACCTACATATATAATAATATAAGCATGTGTGTATGTGAACTGTCTACTTAAATTGGCATTTAATTTACTATAATGTTATGCTGATAATATTTTATTTATTATCAGCTCGTAACTGTCTTAACACTATAATTATATGAAATTCCTATATTATTATTATTTTCATTGTTATTGTTATATGAATCAGTGTTTAAGTATTTGGATTTCGCGGTATGACCTTACAAATATATTTTTAATCGTTTAAAATTCGAAATTTTATGGGAGATTGAAAAATAAAAGTGTTATATTGCAGATAAAGGCTTCCAAATTTCTTGTTTATCTTTTTAGTTCCTTCTGTTTTATAATTTTATTGGCTTGCATATTTATGTTATTTTCTTAAATAATTTCTGGATTTGATTTTTCATATTGTGTTTCATGTCATTCAATTACAATAATATAAATATTTACTAAAGAGTATTTATTATAATTACACAGAATTGAATATATACATTCAAAGAGTACACAGGTACCCTTATAATGAAGTAGAAACTCACAAAACTCTAAAGAAATAATACAAATAGTAAACTTCTGATTTTAGTTTCGGATTTTAGTAAGATTATGAAAATTTTACTTTTAAACTAAGAATGCAAACAAATTTAATTCAAGGTATGTACTCAAATTTCTTTTCAATTTTAATCGAATTCATAGCTTAAAATATTTTAAAGTTATGATGCAATTGTCACCAATAAAAATATTTAATGTAGCCTTCAAAAGAATTTTACTATTTTTTTTTTCTAATTTCTCCAAGTGAATTGATTATACAAACAAATTGCTAAAATATTTTTCAAACAAGTTTTAAAATTTTTTTTCCAAAGTTTTAAAGTTCAGTTTTAGGTTTACGTAGTAAATAAATTCTTACATAATGGGTGATTTTTTAAGCATTTAGTTTTTAAATTTAAAAAATTGCGAATTTGCATATAATTTATGTTGCTGTACATGGTTTAAATTTTATGATTCCGGTAGTCAAACGGCAACTCCATGAAGTTATACCTAAAGTTAATTCTTCACTAAATATTGGAAACACTGCTCTTTTGGCAGCTTTTCCTTATGATGGTTAAATGGCAAAGTAAACTGAATTGACGTTCACAACGGAAAAACAAATCATGTCATATACAGAAAATCACTCGTTATATTAAATTCAAAATCCTATTCAATTACGAAATTACTTATGAAGCTATTAAAATACTTGTATGTCAATTCGAAATATTTTATAATATAACGAATTACGTTGCAATTATTTTTTGTCTAGAAAGGTTTAACTGTATACTTATATACATTCTCCACTGAGTCAAAGTTCTGTATGTCTATAATAAGAATATATGTATACTTATTATCAATTTAATGGCTATAATACAAACAACACCTACCTACCATAAAAAAATTCTTTATTGGAATTCTTTAAATTAAATAAACACGTTCAAAGCTCTTTGTACATTAATTTTCTTATAAAATATTAATTGAAATCAGTTTAACATTCCCATTATAATTATTACTACATATGTTAATAACTATTTGATTTATTGTTTAAGTTTATTGTTGCAATCGTTTTTTTCATAATTTATAAGTAGCAAACAATAAAGTACTTTGTATAATAACTATGGAAATATTTAAAAATGCTGGTAAGCGGAAAATTACTAAATTAAATTAAAGCTTAACTGATTTAAAAAGATCTTCATAGCGCTTATTTCAATATTGAGCAGCTGTAAAAACAAAATTACCCGCAATTATTATTAAATCCTTATAGGATTCCGACAAAACAATTCGAATCGATGTAAAATTCTATATGAATAAAATCTATACTGATTTTTTTAATTGCTATTATAATTCTTTATATAATTTAGATTTAGAGGCTGAAGAACGAAAATTGTTGATTAATTAGGGCTTAAGAGTTCTAATATTAAATTTTATCTTATACCACTTTTAATACATTCTTAACAAATTGCGAGTAAAATTTTTTGCAATTTTTCGAACTTTGATTTAGGACCGAATTTACAAATTACGATTGAAATACCGCTTTCGAATTTTGAAACTATCGGATTATCAAATATTATTAAAATTTCCAAATTCACAAATGCAAAATTTTTGCAATTATTCGAAAGTCTACTTGGGTTGTCAGCTATAATAAAATTTCAAGTTTTTTAAACAAAAAATAAATAATAATAAACAAAATGTTTACTACACAGTTAAACACATGTACATATTGTACTTACTTAAATATTATATAAAATTATTACAACAAATTAAATTTTGCTACCCAGATAGACTTTTCACACACAATATAATTCATTCCATTTTTCATAACGAAAAAATTCCATTTTAAATAATTTTGTTATAAGAAATACTGTATATAAGGAATACTGATAACTCTTTTCAGTTTACGTCAACTGCAGGAAATATTGGTAACTCCTTGCAATTTTTGTTACCGGAAGACAACACTATTGAACAAAAATATAAAAATGATCTTTTTATAAGACATATAAATTAGCATTCTCTTAAGAATGGATATGAGTGTAATTTTGTGATTTTTGCTTAGGCTGAAGATAAAATTATTAAAACGAAGAATACGTTTTTAATCGGACGGAAGTTGAGGCCTTACCTTTAAGTATATAATAATCTTATAAAATAATTTATTTAAATTCTAATTTGAATATAAAATCTCTGATTATTATAAAAATCAAACAATTCTATGTGCTCTAAGTCCAGAAATCTTTGACTTTTAAAATAAAATTTAAAAACAAAAAAATTTGAATTTATTAAAAAGTCTACCTGGGTATAAATATCACATTACACTTTAATTTAAACGTCATATTGAAATCAAATTAACAAGACAGTAATTCTTACATAATTATTATCGTATAATTTATAATATATTAAATTTTAATAAGATGTTATAACATAGGTATTGATATTTTATCCAATATATTTAATCGATTCATGAATTCGCTATATAAGTTGGACTTTTGCATAAATTTTTAACTCTTGTTAAATCTACATGCAATTACATACACTTCATAATATGTTCTATATCTAAATTCGATTATATAATATGGACATTTATAATATGTATATGTGTATGTGTATGTCTATTAAAATTATAAACGGTTGTCACTCTATAACGATGCTGATATGACAATTCAATATGTCAAAATGTTGAATTTTTAATTTAGCATCCTTATTTTAATTTTTAATAATATTATAGAAAATTATAATTTATAAATGGAAAATTATAATCATTTTATACAATATTAAACGAATATAATAAATTATTTTTTGTAATAAAGAAGATACGAAAA